AGTGGAGTCAGAGACTCTGGACTGGAGAATTCCGAAGCTCACTGACCAAGCACTGTGTTCAGAGACCGCCACCCACAGTGCAGTACTTCTCAGACATAGGCTTTGCCACAGCATTCCAGAACAGGAGGAGAACCACAGAAGGTGCCCTTCCCTCTTCCTACTGAAAGAAATCAGGCAGCTTAAAGCCTTAGTGCTTTCTTTCTTAACCTTTCCAGTTTCGATACTTCCCATTATCTGAACACTTGAGTAGAGCACTTGCTTTGTATTAAACTTCTTTGTCTACGTGTAAAACTGACCCTTTGTTACTGAGCAGGTATATCTCTTTAAGATAGATTGATGACTCGCAGGGTTGAGGAAGCTGCGGAGACGAGGGTAGGGGACAGTGGTGGGGTTGTGTTGGTTATGTGAAAGCTATACCATTTAAAGCTGACACCAGAGACCTGAGAGGGACTTATTAACTGTCTTGAACATGTTTTTCATTTGCTTTTGACTCTGTATAGTTATGATGCAAGATTAGATTTATAGCAGCTTCAAGTTGTATTAAATGGTATTTTGCTTTATGTAATACTGTTATAAAATAAAAGTTTGTTTATTCTATAAACTTGTCACTTCTCTTTTTACACACATGAGAGAAATAAACTGGAATGCTATTTTTCCACCAGAAAATCTAGTATTTTGTAAAAATACTTAAGATAATAGCATTTTAAGAGTGGTTAAGTTCTGCTTTTGGTTTGCTTTCATTTGTTGCTGCTGCCGGCACCAGCGATCTGAAATGTGAAAGCATTGTGGGAAGATTCCTTGCACTTGGTTAAATGGTGCTCCAACTTGTTGGAATTCTGCAAGGGAGAACTGTCCTCCTTTTGTTGTGGGCTTTCATGGAGTTATCTGCTGCACCATTTGTGCCTTGCTGCTGTGCTTCGGACCCTGCTTTATTTTATGTCCACTGTGTCTTCATGGAGCGGGCTGGCTGAGGGGCTTCATCCACGTGTCATTGAGATGGCTGACTGGGAAGCTTCCACCAAAGCATACCACATTAAGGGCTTCGTTGTCTTTTAAACATGACACAGAAAAATGGTCAACAGAGTACAATCTTTTTGAAATGTTATATAGAATTTCTCTATGTAGTCATTTAAAATGAGCACAGGAAATATAATTTGCAAAACAGATCTTCTTGGAGATCTGTTCCCACTAAATTATGTCTCAACTTGTGAAAGGCCTTTCTCACATTCTCTATAATTGTTACAAAAACAACTCTCCGGAGAAGGCTGTGTCAGCTAGCCAAGCCTTGGGAATATAATGAAACCAAACGTGCTTCTGTACATACACTTTCCATCAGAACGTTAGTATTATAGAGATCATATTTTAAAATTATCTACTAATCTTCCTTCTTTTGTACATGTACCTAATGATAATACCGATGGTGCCAAGGGCCTCTACAAAACCTGCGGGCTGGGCAATGCAGTCGGGTCATGGGATCAGTTTTATTCTGTTGAGGCAGCACGAACAGGGAACCTGGAGCAATCAGGAGCATTTTAGAGACACGGTGTTGGACACTTGGAACAGTGTTGATAATCATCCCTGTGGAAACATCAGTAAAGGCTATCTTATTAAATACTTCATACTTCTGACAAAGGGATTCTCAAAATGTCCTCATCTCACTTGTAAACTGGGCCAAATGGCAGAGTAGTTAGGAAAGTGGATCCAAGAGTTTCAAGATACAGATTTGAAGTTTTTCAGTAGGAAGAATATTTTTAAATCCATAATCTTGTTAATTTTAGATAAAAATCTTAAAGAGTGTGTGCTTCCTGCCCCATTCACATTTGGATCATTCATGCTGGGATAGGCACTGTCACCTGACACTAGTAATCGGAATCTGAAGGGGGGGTTATTTTGTCTTACTAGTTCAGAGAGTTGCAGTCCATCACAGTGCGGGAGGCATGGGGAAGCAGGTCACAAGCAGGAGTGTGTGGCAGAGTCATCTCATAATGCACAGATAAGAAGCAGGACATGCATGGACAGTTGTAACTTTGAAAAACCCACCTATAATGTCCGACGTCTGCTAACCAGGGCCCACCTCCTAAGGGCTCTACCTATAGCTTCAAAAGAAAATGGGGTCCGGGCGGTGGTGGCGCATGCCTTTAATCCCAGCACTCGGGAGGCAGAGCCAGGTGAATTTCTGTGAGTTCGAGGCCAGCCTGGGCTACCAAGTGAGTTCCAGGAAAGGCGCAAAGCTACGCAGAGAAACCCTGTCTCGAAAAACCAAAAAAAAAAAGAAAAGAAAATAGGGGACCAAGGCTCAACACATGATCCTGTGGGGGGCATTGCAGATTCAAACCATAACATCTTAGAATATGCTTTGAAGTTATTAATCTGAAATATGTTTAATGTTTCCAAATTTTTACAGGTATAAGATCTGAATTCTGATTTCTAAGACTTACTTTTGCCAGAGAACTTGAGATATCAAGGAAACTCTGTTCTTGACTTTACTGTTGCTACTAGAAAGCACTGAAATCCCTGGAAAGATTAGTTTTTAATCTTATAATTAAGAAGTTGCAAATATGTTTCAGAGGATGTGAATTGTACCCTTCCATGCCTAATTTTCTGTCTTACCAGCTAGTGTCAGGATGTGGAGTGGGCATGGACTTGCAGTCCATTTCTGGAAGCCTTTGAAGGATCATCCTGGGCAACACCAAACTGCCAAGTTACTAATTCAATTAAAAAAAAAAAAGAGGAAAAACTAACACAGCCTTAAAGCTGGGTATGGTGAATTGTGCCTATAATCCTGGCACTTCATGGGATTGAGGCAGGAAGATGATGAGTTCAAAGCCATCCTGTCTACTTAGTGAGTCCTAGACCATATGGACTCTACATAAAGAGGACCCCCCCCCAAAAAAGCTTTCATAGCTCTATATGAATTCTTAGTTATTTTCATTGACTAATAAGAGCCATGTGATGGTGCTTTAAGCACTCATGGAAGTGTTTTATTGAAGGACTGGATTTGGAGAAATGTTACCCCTACTGGATACTTCTTTTAGTTAATAGGAATATTAGCAGTAGGTTAGAGGGCAACAGGAAAGAGATTGGGAGCTGCTGGGGGTGAGAAGACTTGGGGTTGTGGGAATAGATGTGGCTCCCTGGGGGAAGGATTCAGCGCCTAGGTTGGAACTCACTTTGGAGTGTGTAAGGAGACGGGCCTGGGTTAGAACCTGGCAGAGGCAATGACTGGACGAGAGCTAAACTGGTGTTTGATCATGTAGAGTAATGATGTGACCCTGCAGCTGATGACTGCTAGTAGGAGATTTAGTGAAGTTAGGAGGGCCTGCACTGAGTTGGTAATAACCCCTCAGGACTTTTCCAGACAGCCAGCGAACATGTCAGTGTTCTTAATACAAATGCACATGCATCTGGTTTTGTTAATTCTTTGCTCTCATTGTGTCCAGGAACACAAAGTCATCCTTTGACAATGTGGTTATGCTTACTGTATAGAACATGCATGTTCCAAGCTCATCTGTTACCACAGTAGTCAAGCTAGTGATTAGGCATCACTCAAAGCCAAAGCTCAGACTTCTGACATTCCTGTTTCTGGGGAAAGAGGGAGCAAACTCTGATGGCTGAACCACAGATTTGGCTGGCAGCTGCCCAAGATGGGACTCTGCTGTGTCCTTTCACACCTCCTGTTGAAGAAAGCATTTTTACACAAACTGCTTCCACCAAAGGCTAAAAAGAGATCCTTCCCAGTACTGAAAGAATAGTGTTATTTCTTCCATATGGCATTAACACTTAGAAATTACCCAACTCTGAAAGGCCCAACATACATTCTCAATATAATTGAGTGCTATTAAAATGGACAAGTGAATGTTTTCAGTTGAGCTGAGAGTACATTTCTCTAGAAGTGCCAATGGAAAGCTCACTGAATGCCTGTGAAGAATTTCAGGGAGGGGCTGAAAGAGTCAGGAAGTATCAGGCTACAGTGAGACATTCTGCCTTCTTAACATTACAGTCTTGTATGCTTGTATTACTGTCACTACCAAAATTGGTACTTAAAAAAAAAAAAAAAAAGACCACGCTTGCTGTTTCATAAGTAACCCACTCAAAGCACAATGGAGTCATGTGCAAAAGTTGGAATATAGCCAGGTTTAGGGAGTACTGAACATTTTGTTGCTATTAACTAGAGAAGTATGGTGAACATGGTAGTGAGCATAATCTTATTTTAACTGTCACCTTGAATAAATGCTTCTTTTTCAATTATCTATGTTCTTTAGAGTCCACTGAATGATATGAATTCTGCTAGTGAAGTGCTGACTTTCTATTTAGAAATAGCTTCCAGTTGTTTGGGTTTTACCAAGAAACTTGAATTATTGTCCTGGGGGATTAGATGAGCATTGCCTTCTCTTCCTTTCCCGTGTACCACCACATCAATATCTCCACCATGTGGAGAGCTATGTTAGTGAGTGACCCATACCTAATATTGAGACTCCATTTATTTGTCATGGCCTACCACAGAGATGACTTAAAGCATTTGGGAAGAGAAGAGACACAAAGGTCTTGAATGCTGTCTGAAGCTGCCATGTTTCAGACCAGCTAGAGGGCCAAATGGAAGACTCTTGTGTGGCACATGCACAGCTCTCCCTTCAAGCCCCATCTTTTACTATTTGTTTGATTTCTGTCAGGGTTTCCTCACCCTTAAAGGGAAAATTATGTGAGCTTCCATAGAGTGATATGATGAGGTCTAGAAATTTTATTTTAAAAACATCCCTCCCCCCCTCAAGTAAATGTAGTCACAGTAAAAGAAACTCATGATGTGCTTCATGCATTGAGCATAATAAGATTTTTAGTCCTTGGCACTTTCTGAAGAACTGCCATTAATACCAGATCACATAGATGTCCTCTGATAGCAGCTGATGCATTCACTGTCCTTCTCATTTCCCCAGGGTTCTGTTGACCACTGCTCTGTGACCATCAGAATTCACGGTGCTTTGTCCCCTGAATGATCCCAACAGTCACCTTCGTCTCATTCGCCTATATAGGGAAGAACCATACTTGTTTTGGCAATCAGAAATCTGAGACAGTTCTTCATCAACTGAAAGAAAAAATATTGATTAATTTGTAGACTCTTGAGTGCTTTGGACCCTTTATAGCTCCTGGCTAGTATTTCTGACTGGCAGCTCTGTGGGCTACAGAAGAATGGGTCTCTACTGTGGGACCTCACCTCTTCAGCTTCCGTTTTAAAAATTACATTAATATTCTCTCTGCGTGTGTATGAGTGGTCATGAACATGGCCCAGCACATGCGGAGATCAGAGGAAAGCTTGGATTGTAAAAAATTACATTAATATCCTCTCTGTGTGTATGAGTGTGGTCATGAACAGGGCACAGTACATGTGGAGATCAGAGGAGAGCTTGGTTTAGTCTGTTCTCACTCCACCACCTGGGTGCCAGGGACTGATCTCGTGTCATCCGGCTTAGCGGCAAGCACCTTTACCCACTGAGCCCTCTCCCTGGCCCTCCTCAGCCTCTTCCAAAGGATGTTCCTGGTTTGGATAGATGGCCACGGCATTAAAGATCATTAACATGCAAGTAAGTATCCTATTTAGCAGATGTTTAGATTCTCATATTCAAGAAACCTTCATTAAACATGTGTAGGTCAGGAGTTGGAGATAGAAGAATTAGAAAAACGAGGTTTCTGTCCATTCTCTTTTCCCAAAATCCACTTGGGTATGTGTCATCCTTAGACATGTCACCTTATTCTCTGTTCTCTTTCTTAAACTTTTGGCATCTTTTACTGGCAATTCTTTCAACTTTTCAGAGCTTACAAATTCCTTAATCTCAAAAATGTTTAGATTAAAAACTGCTAAAATATTAAGTCTTAAGTGGCATCCTACTTACTCCAGATTTTCTAAACCTAGTGGCCTTTCTCAACCCTCAGTTTCTTCTCTCTGTAACATCAACATAGTCTTACCTACTCACTCATCACTGCCTCTCTCCCACCTCCTTGCCTTGCATCGGCCTGCTCACTGCTCATGTATTCAGCTAGTATGTATGTCAGGAACCAAACTTGATTTTAACCTTGAGATCTCTGTTAAGGTCTCAATATATATTCCTTATATGTTCCTGGTACACCAAACAACACTTTCCCACTGACAGCCACCAACATCACTTACTAATGTCATGCATATGGAATTGACCTTGACCATATTCTTGGTAGCCACCTCAAGCTATGCCATCAGTCCTTTACCATGCATCTAGGAAATGTTTCCTACCTGGCTTGGATATGTAGGGAATGTTCCATATTCTCAAATGAAGAGACGTCCTGGGCTATGTGAGCCACAGGATTGAATAGGTGGTATTTATTCAGCAGTTATGTGCCAGATACACAGTGCTAATTTTGCATGTGTTACCTGGTCTACTTCTTGCAGTGACATAAGTTGCTTTCTTCTTGATTTATGGCTGAGCAGCTTAGGGCAGAGAGAGACCATGATAAAGCAGTTTTCCCTAAGACTCCAGAAATGGATGGGTTCAGGATTTGATACCAGGAAGCCTGACTTTAGAGTCAGTACTGTCAGCCGCTGGGTTACACTGCTTTTCCACGTACATGATTTGCTATTTTAAAGATACTCCTTTGAGATGACCTCTCAGAGTATGAACTCATTGGAATAATAGTAATTTCTTTCCTACCTGGATAAGAAGTGCTTTAAATGCAGAACCGAAAGTGGGTGGCCCAAATAAGAGACTAAAGGGAGAGAGCTGAGAAACAACAAAACAAAAACAAAAACAAAAACCCAGAGACCTAGGATGAGGGAAGGAGAGTTTAGCGAGCTGTAGTAATTTAGCCAGTGACCAAATGTCTGCCAAAGGCATTCTGTAGAAAATAAGAGAATTGAAATAATTTACCCTCTCTCCAAACAGCTTGCAATCATATTAAACAGCTTGGGCTATCATATTAATCCCGAGAGTCTATTAGGGAGGATGTGCAGAGAAAAATTAAGCAGGTGGCTTGAAGAAATACCTGGGTTTGTTATGGACAATTCTGAAAGCAATAAGGATTTTTCTCTGTTGGGCCATGGGTGAAGAATTTTCCCTGGCTCAGGGTAAATATTTATGTGAAAGAATTACCATCATTAGGAATAATTTGTATTTCTTTTACATTAAAACACTAACCCACCCAAAGCTTTTGTAAACATTCTTTCCTTGTTTACAGATTTCCCACAGTTGCCTTTCAACTTGGTAGTGAGTTTATTTGCCTGGACCAAAAAAAAGCCCATTAGCTGATAGGAAACCTGCCTGGTTTTGTGTGGGCTAAGAAAGCTAGCACTGGAGCCCAATAGCCAGGGTTCATATCCTGTCTACTGCTTTCTAGGTGAGTTACTAAGGGTGGCTTGATTATTATAAGGCAATTATAATGATACCTATAATGACATAAATAGGGATTTCTTGGGATTAATAAGCAGTAGGAGTAATAGTGGTTTACCATTTTTCAGGATGGGGACTGTTTGGAACATCTCTTTTGTTGTGAAATATTAGTTTAAGATGTGCTACATTCATTTATGCTGTGCAATATTTGTTTAATGATGCAAAGATGTGTTGCATTCTTTTTATGTTGCATTTGTTTAGCTCTGTAAAGCTGTGTTACTTTGACTGCCTAAATCACCTGATTGGTTTAATAAAGAACTGAACAGCCAATAGCAAGGCAGGAGAAAGGATAGGCAGTACTGGCATACAGTGAGAATAAATAGGAGGAGAAATCTAGGGAAGAGGGAGGAGCGAGAAAAGGAGAGGAGGACATCAGGGGCCACCCATGCAGCCACACAGCCAGCCACAGAATAAGAAGGAAATAAAGATACATAGAATAAAGAAAGATTATGCAAAATGTAATTAAAGATAAATGGGATAATTTAAGTTAGAATAGCTGACTAGAAACAAGCCAAGCTAAGGCCGGGCATTCATGAGTAAGAATAAGTCTTTGAGTATTTATTTAGGTGCTGGGTGGTGGGCCTCCACAGAGTAAAACAACAACAAAAAAAATCAACTACTCTCTGTAGCCGCTCATTTCCCACACCGACCCTATAGCTGAACCCACTGTTCTTACTTCTATTTTACAGATGAGAAGGCTGAAGCTTTAGATTAAGTAGAGAAGCCGTGTTCCAGACTCAGATGCTAATAGTAATCCCCTGTAGTCAGGAATCTTAGCAACTTCACTCTCCTGACTTGTTACTTTCCTCTTTACACAACTAAAATCTAAGCATGACATTCAGTGGAAGATGCTTTAGCTTAACACACTGTGTTTTCAAGATGTTCCTGGTCTTTTTTTAATAACGCATAGCTGCTGAAGGTCACAACCAGATCCAATGTTAGCTTTACATATTTTATATCTAACTCAACTTTTGGGCGTTCAGCAGATACACTCTAATACAATGACTGCTTTTGATACTATTGGTTGTTTTAGAGCAGTTTATTCTTGATCAGGGTTATGATACCTTGGGAGGTAGGTGGTGCTAGAGGTAGAGATTTTGGAATGCTGGAGAGAAAGGAAGATCACAGCTTGTACCCTAGGGAATGAAAAATGTCCATGGCAGTGATGATAGGGGGTTTGACTATTTCTAGAAAGTTTTAAGACTCAGTCCTCCACCCCAAGAGCTGTTTCTCAAGGCAAATGACAGACTAAAGTGTGCAGGATGTTAGAGAAATATCTTTCTTCCTTTGTGAGAAAATTGATGTTCTCTACATACTAATTAAATTTCCATGCTCCATTACCTCTCAAGACTTGAAGAGTAAGGATTAATGTTGAATGATGACATTACCTCCACTCACTTCCCATCATATCTAAAAGTGACGCTCTGTCTAACGTTAGGATATATGAGGTACACAAGCTGGTTTTCCGTTTTGGAAAGTAGGACTCTGGAGTTCTGTGAATACACCAGTTAATCTGTCAATGTTCTCTTTACAGAAACAAAACAGGAATGATTACACTTGCTGTAGCCCTGGGGAGAAGATTAACTATATGAGACACTTGCCCATATGTTTACAATTTTTAAATGGATGCTATTCAATGGATAAAACTGGTGATGTTTTAATTTGGACCAAGGCACCTCATGTGCCCTCTAACTGGAGAGGGAATAATGCCACACACCCTTAGGAAATCACTACAGAAAGAACTACAGTTTCTAAGCAACAAGCCGTAGATGAGACCTCCATTGTGTTAAGTAACCGATGCACAGAATTGTCCCACTGAAGTAAATGGTGCTTCCTGTACTCCTGGCTTCTCCGCCTACAGCCTGAATATACTTAACTTCATTGAGAACCAGCAAAAGAGGGTGACAATGGAGAAGGTGACTTATTCCATCCCTGGGGATGTCACTTAGGTATTTTGAGGACCCTGCCTGGTGAGAGGTCACAGTTTTGACATTATGAAAAAGACTAAAGTGAAAGATCGGGGTTCAGCCTTGGCTGGGTTCAAGGGCAGAGTTTAGCCTTAACTTGGTCTGAGGACAAGATCAGAAACATACAGATTTATGTAACTAGTGTTGGATTAATTTTTTTTTTCTGATGCATTTTGTAGCTTTCTAAATGTAAGACTGTTTCCTCTTGGTCTCAAAAGTCTATGGTGAAAATCTATCCCACTGCCATAGTACATAGTAGTACTGGAATTTAGTTTGCCACCAAAGCTCACATTGAAATTTCACACCTTTTGTGAGATTCTAAAGCTCTAGGCCCAGATGGGGCCTTTAAGAGCAGAACTTTGAGCCAGGCTGTGGTGGCGCATGCTTTTAATCCCAGCACTCGGGAGGCAGAGGCAGGTGGATCTCTGTGAGTTCAAGGCCAGCCTGGTCTACCGAGCCAATTCCTGGACAGCCAGGGCTACACAGAGAAACCCCCTGCCTCGAAAAACAAAACAAAACAAAAACCAGAACGAAAAATAATTTGGATCTGTCTTTTAGGTACACCCCTCTTGCTGTGTGCTGCCTTAGACCACGGAGTCTCTACAAACAAGTGCGACCTCTCTGGATGGGGCCACTTGACCTTGGATTTCCCAGGCTTCAGAACTATAAGAAATGTTTAATTTTTAAAAAATAAATTACTCTGTAGTGTTCAGTCATAAGAGCAGAAAACTGCCTCAAGTAGATTCGCAAACCTTTGTTGAATGACTAACAACTGTTGTTATCTAGAGGAAGGACGTGTGTTTGGAGCAAGCGTTAAAGTTGTTTAAAGGAATTCACCCACGGACTGTGCCTCTCATTATGTGAGGCTCCAGTGTCACTGCCCCCTAGGGTCAATCTTATGCTTCAAAGTATAAAAAATTTGAGAGGGAAGGAGAAGACCCATAGCGTGAGAAAATCTAGGAGTTAGGACAAGCTCACTAGCATATATCATTTGGAGAGAGAAGGATGAAGTACTAGTTATTCGGCTCCCTTTACTTACATGCTTCAACAGTGCTGTTGAGTTACTAATGTCGTTATGTGGTTTTTATTGTGACTTGATCTCTAGACGAATTACCTAGATAGGGTTGTGCTGAGGACAGCTGGAGGCCATTCTGCAATAGTCACAGTGATATGTACACCTTGGGCAGTTCTAGACCAAGCAGTGTGGTCAACAGCCCTGTCCTGGCTATTTCTTAATGTCAATTTGACACAGGCTAGTGTCCTCTGAGAGAAGGGAACCTCAACTGAGAAAATGCTTCCAGGACATTAGACTGTAGGAAACCTGTAGGGCATTTTCTTGATTAATAATGGATGTAGGAGGGCCGAGCCCACTGTAGACAGTGCCACCCCTGGGCTGGTGGTCCTGGGTTTTATAAGAATGCAGGAGCGAGCCAGTAAGCAGCACCGCTCCATGGCCTCTGTATCAGCTCCTGCCTCCAGATTCCTACCAAGTTTTCGTTTCTGCTTTCCCTTCCCTTAGTGGACTGTTATTCAGGATCCATAAGCCAGATAAACTCTTTCCTCTTCAAGTTGCTTTTGGTCATGATGTTTCATCATAGCAGTAAAAATACTGGGTACTCAATTATATTTTTCATGTTATAGATATTTTCCCAGGGAAAAGAAAAGTTGTAAAACTGAGCTGTTTTCTTTTTATAGACTCTCCCAGATACCAAATGTCTCACAGAATCACCCAATCATTCGTAGTTGTTGAGCAGAGGCTGTGAGACCACTGAGAGACTAAAATCCAAGAAGCTCTTCTGACCTTCTTGCCTTAGTTCATGCTTTCTGAGACACTGTAGATTTTATCTTGCTTAAGAAGTGACTGGAGATAAAACTTAAGTATGTAAAGAACTTAAGTCCTTGACTGACACCCACTTCTGCTTCCCAGTGTCAGTGGGAACCTGGGGCATCTGTGACTGGCAGTGGTCACTGCAGTGACCGTGAAGGGTCTTCCACGGGGAAATGTTTGCACCCCCGGGCAACGAGCCAGTGTGCAAGACTGAAGGAACACTGCTGTGAAGGCCTGGGAGTCTTTGTTTTCAGTTTCCTCCTTGTTTTGGAGTTTTTCCAAGGCTTGGGAATCTTAAACATCTGGGTGCAGTTTCCAGAAGACTGATCTTGGGGACAGTGAGGGATGTGGCTCGCTTTAATAAGAAAAGAATTTGTCACATGGGTCCTATAGAGCATGGTGCACTATCCCTTAGTCACCCTGCATAAGAGGTGTTCATAAAAATGAGACACGAAAGGCTATGACAGTGGTTCTCAACCTGTGGGTCATGACCCTTCCACAGGGGCCACCTAAGACCATCATAAAGCACAGATGTTTACATCACAATTCATAACAGTGGCAAAATTACAGTTGTGAAGTAGCAATGGGAATAATTTTATGGTTGGGGTCTCCACAATATGAGAACTGGATTAAAGGGTCTCAGCATTAGGAAGGTTGAGAACCACTGGGCTACAGGGTTCTCCAGTAGGCTCTGATGGGAAATAGGATTCTGTAGTGCAATGTATGTTCTCTGTGTACCACCTTAGACATAAGTGTCCCTAATTATTCTGCTGTGGGCACCACAGGAAGGCATTGCTTGAACTTGGCAAGATTTGGTAGGAGACCAGGGACTTTCCATTTGCTTTTTGGTTTTCCAAGATGGAGTTTCTCTGTAAAACCTTGAATGTTCTGTAACACACTCTGTAAACCAAGTTAGCCTCACCTGCCTCTGCCTCCTGAGTGCTGGGATTAAAGGCATGTGTTTTTAAGACAGAGTCTCACACTGTAGCCCAGGTTTAACTCAAATATAATCAAACCTCCTGCCTCAGTTTCCTGAGTGCTAGCATTATAGCTGTGCACAACCATGGCCAGCTTTCAGTTTTGTTTTTTTCCATAGTTTAATATGAAACCATCCAAATTAAGAAGCAGGTTGATCTTTAGTGACATTACTAAAATGAGTGTTAACTTTTATGGCATCAAATATTTACTGAAAACCAAATCAAAATGTAGCCTCTCAAAACACAGTCTAGCTCCTTTAATTTCTATTATATCAGCTCAATCCAGGATGCACATGCCCATCAAAGATCACCTTAAGCTTCTGAATATATTTTATCTTTTTTTATACAATACTATGCTTTTATGGGAAGTTTCTGCTACAGTCCAGTATCTAGTATTTTGCATTGGCTAAACACTGATAACAAAATGCTTGGAACATTTCTTAAGCAGAAGTTCAGTGGCTGAGGATGTTGTGTGCATATGCACATGGTCAAATACATGGATATATATACATATATATATGTATATATATGTTTATATATATAAAATGTTTATGTATAGATGTGTGTGTGTGTGTGTGTGCAAAGCCATGCGCATAGCTGTGTATGTACTATGAGACTGTGTTGACCTGCTCTGTTCCTCATTTCATGGTTGATACATTTTTGAGGTTGTGAAAGTTAATCTTGTCCAAGAAGCAGCAGAGGTAAGACTTGAGAGTGATACAGTGGACTCAAGTTCCCACCTGTGACATCCAAATCCTTTAACTTCTTCCTGGGGCACTCAGTGTCAGTGGGAACCCAGCGTATATGTGACTGACAGTAGTCCTTACAAGGACCATGACGTACGTACACGCACATCTGCCACATAGGAAAGGCAGACCATGGATAGAGTAATGCTTATGAATCTGTTGCCTTAGGAGACAAGCAAGCAACCTTATGTCCAGTTTACTGATTCACAGCTGTCCGTCCACCAAGAACTACGGAGAAGGAGTCCCTGTAGCGAGTGGTCAAACCCTACCTACCTCATCATCCACGGAGTTGCAAGTATCAAACCTTGCCCAAGTTCATCAAGGATCTTAAGGGAGGACTGGGGCAGAAACATCTGTCAATCCAAAAGATACGTTTTCCCAGCTTCCCAGAGCTTTGGTGTGTTTTAAGGATGAGCCCTTCCTTCGCACTTACCCGCCATCAATTTGATCCTGAAGTAGGCAATCAGGAGGAGAAGCAGCAGAGTCACGGGCAGGAAGATCCCCAGGACTAAGAACGGGCCTGGGAGTTCCTGCAAGAAGGTGGACAGCACAGAGCTCATGGCCCCCCACAGGTGGGGCTGGCACAGGGATCCTCACTCAGGACAGGCGACTGTCCCTAGTCTGTGGTAGTCCTTTCCTGGAGTTCTGGCCTTTGCTCGGCACTTCTCCATGAAACCTGCTGTGGACTTTGCTCTAGTTTAATAGTGGGGTGAATTCTGGGGCATTGTTGTCGGGTTATTCTGTAACTCAGCTACAGGGTGTAGAAGAACGGAAGAGTAAGTCTCCCAAGCTATCCTTGAGATGAATGCTTCCCGGCAGGAGTTGGGATGGCCCTGGCGAGCTGAGATTAAGTATCTGACTTCAGCAAATCTTCTTACTATTTGCTCTTCCTGTAGAGTCCCAGACCCAGAACTTTTATTCCATTTCCTAAATTTCAGAGCTAAAAATGACTTAATAGTCATGCTAATGCACATAGTTAATGTAACAAACACTGAGAAAGGGAACACATACTACCCATACGTGAAGACTGCCTGGTTGGTCCCGCTCTGAGTACTTCTCCGGAAGGTGCATTGATGTATTCATTTAACAATCACTTAATTCTACTAGAACCTAACCTTTGATCTGAAAGTTGGGTATGCAAAGCAGAGGTCACAGCCCCTCCCCTTTATAGTCTAGGAAGCCGCAGCTAATAGGCAGAAGTGGGCGGTGGCATGGACGGTGGTAAGACCTTTTCCTAGCTGCTGGAGCTCACGTCCAGCTGTGCTGTCTGCTTGTACTGGCCTTGGTCCTGAATGCAGGATGTATGGGTGCTAAGACAACTTATTCCAGACTTCCGGAATAAGAAAGTACTGTAAACTAGCAAATGTCAAGGTTCACATCGACCCGCTGACGACCATTGGGTTACCTTGTACCAGTTGAGTGGTGACTTTGCAAAGATGCCGAACTACTAAGGCTGATGAAAAGACTCGTTTCCTGATTCAAAGGCTCACTAGAGCACTGGGAAAAGTTTGAGGGAGACAGGCAGCCATTCTCAGGGCATCATTCCTGGCTTGTGTTCTCTCTCTGTCCCACCCTTTAGATCGCGCTGCTGGTGGGCAGCTGATGGAGTCCACCATAAAAAAAAGTGTTTTCAGCACCAGCTACATTCTTCTTTGTGGGACCTTCTGTGGCCACACCGTCAGTCTCAGCTTTGAAATCTGTACCCTCAGTAAAAATTCAACTGGAGAGGGTCGGTGGGGTGGGGGTGGGGGGGCTTTTCCAGTATCCCTGAGGAGATGACAGCAGCTTCCCTCTACAAAACAAAGTCAGAAGGAAGGCTTTAGAACACCAGTACTGAGCCTACATTCATTGAACTTTACTTCCTCCTCTTCTGCCATGTCACAGAGATGTTGCAGCTAACGATTCTTGCATGCTTTCTGTTGAGAGGGCTCTTTGGTGCTCTTTCAGCTGGACCAGGATGCTAATTTGTAAAGTGCCAATCTTCAAAGAACCTCCATGAGCTGGAGACATACAGGGGCGATGTTAGGCAGCTGCTAGGAAGACTGTTCTGTTCCATTCCATTCAGCAAGGCTTACCTGAATGCCTAGGCTGAGTTGAGTGCGGCCAGAGACAGGCAAATGTGAACGACAACACTGTTAGCTCCAGATCCACATTGAAGCAAAGCTCTGGGGTGGGGACTCGCTCATTCCAATGAGGGGACTGGGCTGAGTTTGTGAAAAAGATAGCGTTGTCTGGAGCCCGAGGATCAGAGGCAGTCAACCTCAGACAAACACAAGTCAGAAGAAAGCTGGTAGGGTTTGTGGAGGAAGAGAAAGAATTGACAACAGCCAAAAGACAGAGCGTGTTAGGAGTTGAAGCTGGCAAAACAAACAAAAACAAACAAACAAGAAAGGTATCAGAGCTTCCAGACTTGAAAGCCCTGCTCAAGACAATGCTATTTGGACAAGGGAAATCCACCAAAGGTCTTTGATCATAGACGTGCACGGACTTAGGAGGTATCTGGCAACTCTTTAAGGAATAGATGAAATAACAACGGCTTAGTTTGTTTCAACATGGAATCAAAATGCCATGGATATGAGCTAGACGACAGCAGAGGGGAAGCGGGGGAGGGACAGAGAGATAGGAACAGTCCTCAGTGAATAATCGGGTGAACAGAAATAAATTTCACCAGTGCCGCTAACAATCCCTATTATATGTCTGTATGAACATTTTGTTTATGATCTTTGGATTTTCATGGTAAATCTATAAAGAACTTCATTTTACAGATGAAGAAATGGGGCCAAAAGCCTTGCCAATGGCACATCCCTGGTAAATTCCAAAGCCAGGATTTCTATCCAGAGGCCATGCTCTCATCCATAATGTCGTGTCCGGCTCCCATGATGGTGGTGGCTAGGAGATGGTATTAATATAGACCTGACTCCAGGAAAGCTGGCAGGTTTGGGTGGGGAAGACACAGAGTTGTGTAGATGTTATACTGTAAGGGGTGAAGAATCAGCTGGCCAGTGGGGACCTGATAGAAATAAGAGGTTCAAGATAGAGGACCAGACTCAAAATTTGCCACCATGAGAGTAGCACATTCTTTGGTTTTTCAAGTCAGGGTCTCTCTGTGTAATAAGCTCTGGCTGTCCTGGAACTCACTTCATAGACCAGGCTGCTCTCAAAGAACTGCCCCCGCCTCCCGAGTGCTGGGATCAAAGGCATGCGCCACCACTGCCCAGTGACTAGCACATTCTTTCCTGGGCTCCTTGCCATGGAGGAATAACCATTAGTACAACTGGAAAAAATCTGCATTGGTGGAGCTAGAGGAGCAGATCTTGTGGGGGAATTAAACTGTCCCATTGGTTTCCTTGGGGACGAAGGCTCCCACTGTTGACTTACATGATTTGAGGCACAAGCAATTTACAGAAGTTGATATTTAGGATAAAATTGCTGGTTACTGCCTTGCTGTCTCCTACAGTGGACTCTGAGTAACAGCTGGCCAGGAGTCTCTGTTGCTAACTGACCTATGGAAGCCAATCCCAAAGCCACCACCAGGCATCTGATTTGGATTCTCCCTGAGTCTGAGTCATGCAGAGTGACTCACAGCAGTGACATGCCGCAGAGCGAGGAAACTTCTCTAACTCATCAGCAGAAGGTGCCAGAGCACCGTGGACTGACTGTTTTCCAGAACATCAGATTGCATACAGCCACATAACCAATTCCAAAAGTCAGGAACAGAAATCAAGCTCACCAATTTCCGATGAAATGGTTTAGTTTCATTACGTGGGTGGTAGTTTGTTGACACGGAAATTCTCTCACAACGTCAATGTTAAGTCTGCTTGTATTAGTAAGAGAGCCTGAATTTCTCTGGCTCTTGTTAACTGGCCCTCTGAACTTTTTAATGTCAGTTAAAGTAGTGTCACTTGGCAGCACTTTACAATAAACACAAAAATTAAGGAGTCTGAGATCAGGAGAAATTTGGGTTTCAAGGAATAGCGTGATCTCTGCTTTGTGGACTTAGAGGCCCCACAGGCCTTTGCCGTTGACATTTGAAGGGGACAAATATTTATTCTGGCTTTGGCACGTGCTGCAGAAGCACCGGTTTGGGCACTGTGGACATTTAAGGACAAAGTCCCTGTCCATATTGCACATTCCAGCAGACTAACAGCCAGTAAACAACAGGAGACTGCTGAATGGTCACATGGTTCCCAAGCACTAATCTAGGCTCTGACATACATGGTAACTTGTTTCATTCTTACTATAGTGCTTTTGAAGTAGAAGCTATATTGTTTTGTGTATGCCTACATGGTGGGGGCATACACATATGTGTATCTGCATGATCACGTATATCAATCCAGTATATATATCATGGAGGCCGGAGATCAACCATGGGTATTGTTCCTTATGCACCATCCACTTCAGTTTTGTTTATTTGGTTTTTTTTGAGATCGGGTCTCCTGCTGCCTAAGGGCGCGCTAATTAAGCTAGGCTGGCGGACCACCAAACCCCAGAGACCCACTGGTCTCTGCCTCCCTAGCTCTGGCATTATAAACATACACTATCACACCTGGATTAAAAAAAAAAATGGGCCGGGCGCGCACGCCTTTAATCCCAGCACTCGGGAGGCAGAGGCAGGTGGATCTCTGTGAGTTCGAGGCCAGCCTGGTCTACAGAGCAAGATCCAGGAAAGGCGCAAAACTACACAGAGAAACCCTGTCTCGAAAAAACAAAAAAACAAAAAATGGGCTCTAGCGATTGAACTCGGGTTTTCATGCCCACAGAGCAAGCACTGAGTCATCTCCCCAGCCCCCGAAATAGTTAGTGTTCATTTCCATCACTACCATTTTAGAGATGGAGAAACTCGTGGTAGTTTTCATAACGAGGATTGTTGCATCATGCGGAAACAGCAGAATCTGGATTTGAACCCATAACCCAGTAGTAACTCTGCATACCCTACTGCCTCTTAAGCTCCTGGAGGAATACATATATAATGTTGAGTAGTGTATTTTTTTTTTTCTGCACTAGGAGATGAAAGAATAATGGGAAGTGCTTGATTTAGATGCAGCTGTCAGAGAAGGTATATTAACATCCTAAGAAATAAATCGTTATGGTCCATTTTCAGTATAGAGTGTGCGTGCTTAGAACTCATCAAAGAATCACAGATAAGCAAGAAGTTCTAGGCACCTGCTTGCCTCAGAACTCTTGAGTTGAGACGTTTCAGGCAGTCTGCTATGTGACTGACCCCACAATCAGAAGGAAGACAATGCCACAGCCTCAGGATATTTATCAGATAAGGATCTCTGTTCTGAACCAATAGGGTGGGACCCTTGGTGGTGACTGTAAGTGTGGAGACTGTGAAGACTGTGTCTGTTTGATGCAGGAGTTTCTCCCCATTGGGGACTTTAGAAGCCAGTATCCCACAGAATCAATATACCAGCCATTTTTGCCCTAATTCTATACTTGTGACCGGTTCTGCAGAACTGAATATTAAAGACTTTCTCTTTCACTAGTCCCTTGAGTTTATTACCACAGAATGAGAGTCTTATTCCCCACGGTATTAATCTGCACACCCTCTATGACAAGATGG